TACGCTGGGGACACTTATATCATTGCATCCCCTTATAAGTATCCAAAGAAAATGCCATGATGGGTCAATAATGCCTCACATGACATTACTATTTTCAGCATTGATTTATCCTTAATTAAATCACCATAATGGGGGTATTTCCTAAAATCAACTTCTTACTGAGGCATGTATTTCCTAAAAACAATTTCTTAGTAAGTCACCTTATGAAATATTGGCATTTTTTAAACCAATATCTTATGTGTGTTAAGCTTTCACACTATATTAGTTTTTTTTAAAACATCAATATTTCACTCTAAACATACTTTTGAGATTTTTTTTTTGTGGAGAGTAATATCTCACTAGATAAGGTAAGCTCTATGAGATTGATGCTTTTCGATAACAATATCTAATTATGGATATGAGAATTTATCAATACAAATATAAAAAAGCATATAATAAAACTATTTACCTTTGATACAAGGTCAACTCTCATTCAGACTATTAGATGTGAAATTGCGTGGTTGAGCTTTTACCACTTACTGAGCACAAAGTCAAAAGCAAAATTTTCTCCAAGTTTGTAACAAACCCCTAATTGTCAAATTTTGTATCCAATAGCTAAGAGTGATTTTAACTTCTTTGTACCATAAGTGAATGGTCTTATAGTACAATCTCTACAAAAAAAAAACTAGTAAGGTTTTTAAAGCGAAATTTTGATATCCAAAAATAACATCTCACAAAATTAGTTTTCCCTAAAATGACTTAGTAGGGGCAACCTCAAAAGTCGCCCCTCCATAAGTATATGGCCTCCTATGATGCGTGCTTGATGCATGGACACTTAAAAACTATGACAAAAAATGGTTAAAGTGTACAATAGTGAAGATCTGGAATGGTTAGATTTCACACATCAAATTTGGCCGGTTTCTATTCAATATTGAGGCATTATTTTTTTCAAGCCCATAGAGAATGGGATTTAGAAAAAAACCAAATTGTTTTAATGTAGCAGATGAATTGAAGAGGTTATATCCCACAAATTTGGAGTCTTAAAAACACTTCGATTTTGCCCGAGGGAGTAAATGGGTAGCATGCTTCCTCGGAAGCATGAATATTTTGACATTTGGAAAAACATGCATACGCCACACGATTCAATGAGTTAGAAATGGGTGCGGGTCTTCCACTTTTGCCATTTATCAAATGAAAATACTTTTTAAGAAAACCGCATATTTGAGATCCACTCATGATATTTCCGAAACACATGATTCCCAATTCCTTTGAGTTGTATATCAAAGGAAATGTTTAACAGTAGACAATCTACAAAAGAAGGATAAAATTCTTCCAAACATATGCTTGATGTGCAAAAATGATGAAGAATCTTGCTTCATATTTTCCTACACTGTCATTTTGCTTCTAGCTTATAGCTAGGAACCTTCTCTTTATTGGGTTTTTTCCTCATGATACCTTTGAATATCATCAACATTATCAACCATCTTTCTACCATTGGATTACCAAAAAAAAGAGTTCTGATTTGGAAAATTTTCAAAAGTGCAATCTTATGACATATTTGGTTAGAACGTAACAAAAGAACCTTTGATGGGGTGTCTCAGAGTATTGAAAGGATAAAAGATCTGATTTACAATCTTTTTGGAATTGGTTTTCCTCCATGCCTGAAGGATGGGGTGCTCTTCGGACTGATATTTATATAAATCTGAAATTTTTGGCTTATTCATCTTCTCACTCTACTCGTCCCCTTAGAACTTGGATTGCACCTCTAGAAGGTTGCCTCAAACTTAATTTTGATGGTAGCTTATTTGGAAATCTAGGGCATGCAGGTCCTAGTGGGCTTCTTCGCAACAATTTTGGATCGGTTTTTTTATTCGGGTCCTTGTGGATCTACAACAACTAATCATGCTAAAGTGTCTGCTCTCCTTTTTAGGCCTTTATATTATCATCGACATGGGTTTCACTAGTGATATTATAATTGAAGGGGATTCCCTGAATGTTATCAAGTGGTGTAGAAAACAGCAAAAGATGCCCTGGCCCTTATATACTTTTTGGTTAAAAATTCAAGACGTATGTGCCTGGTCTAATTTGAGGATAGGCTTCACCCACACCATGCACGAAGCCAATGATGTTGTTGATGGGCTTATTAAACATGGTGTTTCTCTTCCTTTTTTACAAGTTTCTAACGATTTGATCCAATCTTTATCATCTTATGCTCTTGAAGCGTAAAAGTTCATAACATTTGTTATATAAAAATATAAAAAAACGCGATTCCCAATCAAATGTGGGTGTTTGCAATCAATAATATCATAATAAGAAATACAAGCTTTTAAAATCAAGGTAATTTATTAAGAGAGAGATTAGTGTTCGGAAATACCAATAGGGAATTACTTTTTTAGTTCCAATTGACAAAGGTCACTACCTTGTTAGGGTTTCAGGGCGTTACAACCAATGTTGTCAGATTCGCTTCGTAGTCTTTTTTGGTTTTGTGAGAAAAATGAAGCAATTCGGTGCTTCGGCCAATTCGGGGAAAGATTTTGGATTTTTTTTTTAATATCTAATATAAATCAATTATATATTTTTATATATAACATACAAATAATAGAAAAATTAAAATAAAAAATACATTTATAAAGTTATTTCTTTGCCAGCCAAAGCAGACCCAAAACAAACTCGAAGCCGTCTGAATTTGACCAAAGCAGCCCGAAGCGGTCCGAATATGACCGAAGCGAAGCAAATTTGATAACATTGATTTCAACCCTCAACATCTCATACAAAGGGCAAGCCACGGAGAAAAATAAAATAAAACAAGAAAAACGAAAAAGAGGGCCAGGCCCAATCAGTCACTGTCATGGCCCAGCCCCAGCCTACTCAGGCCATGGTTGCTTGGCCTTGGCCCAGCCCTAGGACCACATTTTGTAGCACATGCCCTAGTTTTTCTAGGCCAGGCTGACCGCGTGATGCCAGTCCACCCAGCCCATTGCCACCCCTACATATACTCAATGTCGGGTATGCTATGTGAACTTCATTTATGCAGATGCTCTTTCTTTACAAAGAGGTCGGCCCATAGTTAGGACAATGACCTTGCAAAGTGATAGTTTAATCAAAATCGACTTATTGTTAATTGATCAAATTAGCACACGCAGTAAAGGAGAGGGACTATTAGTAGTAAATGAAGAACATATGATCTAAACTGTCCACGTTGTCATTCCTGCTATGAAAGTAGGAATGAGGCTATCTTCCCTCCATTGGCTAAATATCAACATTTGAAGGAACAGTTAAAAAAAGGCTACTTTATTCCCAGGAAAACATTTCCAAGACATGATATCGATCAAAAGAAACTGATCTCCTAAGAAATTCTAAAGAGGTTACCAAAGATGGGATAATTCCATGGACCCAGACCCGATCCAAGAACCGACAGGTATACCTAAATGGGCCTGGGTATGGGTCCAAGTCTAACACTCACAGGTAAGGTCCAAACCTAGTAAGTGATACCCAAACAATTTCGGGTCAATGTATGACTATATCCGATCCAACAGGTACCCAGACCCGTATTTATTATATATATTAGAAGACCCTCCTTACAAAAGAGACCTATACATATGGAGTTCACAGCCTTCTCCGACCTCTTTTCTAGAGGTAACACCCCGGCAACTCTATCCAATTCTTTGATGTGGGATTAATCGCACAGTAACCCTACAAGAGAGATTTTAACATTAAATCTGGACTGTGAAGCACCTTAGTATCATTGTTATCTTGCCATGTATGGGCAATGCAAGATAGAGGCCAGCCTTTTTTCTTAAAAATGAAGAGTTATTTTTTCGTTTTCATGTACCAACTACTTATGGCTGCAAAGCTGTCTTTTTGACTCTTTATCTCTAAGACTAGCGTTTTTTTCCTTGGAAATAACACTTCGTCAGCCAGCGTGGGTGGGATGCTTACCACTTTCAAAAAAATTTAATGCACCGAAAGAAAATCTAGAGAGAGAAAATGCGTAGGATATATCCTACATCGAAAAGGTCAATAAATTGAAGGGGGTATAAGAACTACAAAATGGGTGGGTTGGTTGGTGGGCTCAAAATAAAAAACCTAAGGAAAGCGGGCGGGTGCGTAAGTGATATATATCGGGTATGGGTCTGGGTTCTGCTGGGCCAACCTATTGCCACCCCTAGGTATAATACAGGTTGAGAAAACATTTTCTTGAGGAAAATTTTAAGAGGAAAATGCTTGTCTGACACGTAAATCAAAATAAAAAACTTAGAAGGAAAGCCTATCTAGGTCCGGGAACTATATTTTTGGACCGGGTACGAAATTACCTGTTGAGTTTAGGTCCGGGTCCACAAGTGACATTGAGTATGGGTACTGTATTTTTGGACCTGTTGGGTTTGGGTACAGGTACAGGTCCACAAGAGATATAATGGATACAGGTCAGGGTTCAGCTGGCCCAACCTGTTGCCACCCCTAGGGATAATACAGGTTGAGAAAACATTTTCTTGGGAAGAAATTTTAAGAGCAAAATGCTTGTCTGACACACGTAAATGCAAACCTGAAATCCATGGAGTGATGAAAATCAAAAGCTTCAATAGCCTTCTACATGTTCAAAAAAAGCCAGCATGTAAACTGCTTTAATAAAGCTTACCCGCACACGGGCATGCAAATTTCATTTCAAAGTCAGAATATCTAAATTTTACACTCACTGGGAAACCCCATTGTGGTAAGAGTTTTTTTGATATAAAAAACTTGAAAGTAAAAGAAAAAACAAAATTTTCTCGCATCGTGTGTGTGGAGTCGAGAATTGCCAGAGTCCTATTTATACCAGCCCGCAAGGATGTAACGCAGCCAAAAACAGAATAGACATGCCAAAGCCTGTTCAAACAAAAAGGTTCTCTGATATTCAGTGGATATAAGGGAACAAATACCGTGATATCAGAGGATTGAATGAAAAGCACTGCTATGCTGCCATGAATAACCGGTAAATCACACTGTTGATACAAGTACATACCTGGAAAACAAGAAGTCGGATGCAGAGTGATTTCTCCGAGCATCGACCGAACAAATTCAGGAATAAGTTTACAAGATTCCAGTCTTTTGTTCCAGTTAGAAGCCTTGTTTGAGGATCAAACCTGCAAATTGCCAGGATTCTCACTCTTGGAAGAAACTTCAATCAAATATTTTATCTTTGTAAGAATGGCATGTGAAGAAATATTGCTGCATATGCCTATCAATAATTACAATAGCAACAATTGGATACAGAGAAGGATTAATGTTTCATTAATTCAATCAGTATCTACCTAGGCAGCCGATGACGTGGACATGGTATAATCTTGAAGAGCTGCCAAAAACAAAACTTGTTTGGGAGTTAGAAGTACAAGGAACAGAGGAAGTTGATCTCAGCAAACTCTTTTTGGAAAATTGTTTTATGCGGGCTGGACCATTTCTACATATGCGGTCCAGAAACTGTAAAGCATCCATCTTAAAGATGGATGCAAGTAGGTGTTCCGTCTAAAAACAATGGAAACTTGTTTTCTTACAAGAATCATTATTTCTAGTTTTTAACATTTATTTATTTTTTCATATTCATGATCTCCATGTTAGAGATTACATGTCCTTAAAAATTAAGTCTTAAAATCCATCTCAAAAATAGATTTATTAAGAGGCCCGTATTTCTACATATGCGGGCTTGGCCGCATAGAAACCGGGTCCTTTTCTTTTTCTTCTATTCTTTTGGCTGGTGATTTAGTGATTTCAATTTTCTTCTCCTTTATCATCAACAAAACTGAAATGCTTCATCATAAACAATAAAGGATGAGTTAATACCTGAGGGCATGAATAAAGGAAATTCAGAACTTGAGGAAGGAAGAAGAGCAAAAGAGTCTCACTGCAAAAAAAAAAAAGAATATCATTGAAAGGTTGACGACTCAAATGGGGCTCTCACGTAGTTAATACTGAGAAAGTTAATAGACATGCACCATATCACTCTGGAAAAGATAAATACACATGATCAAGACATGATGCAGGGTGCAATGCTAGAACAGCATTGGCAATCTCATTATGTTTGCCATAAAGATCACCATTACAGTTTCTATAGTTTGGAAACTAATGCATGAAAAGGTCCATAAGCACCAAATTAATATCATAGAAACAAACTGAATAAAGCATTTAAGAAAAGTAAAACAATCTAGAACAAACATTTACAGATAACCAAATTTGCAAATATGATCCAACGACCTTCTTTTCTCTCTTTTTCTTTCGGTAGTTGAGTGAGAACTATTAATTGAAATTGTGAAAAGTGGCCTGAAATGGAGGTAATGATCATATGCATGCCAGAAATTCTGCAAGGAAAATTCGCAAAGGTAAAATGCAGACAGTATTTTGGAGTCCCTGAGTCAAGCTCAGGCTCCATTCCACAAGCTTCCAAATCAATTCAGAACTTAGATTACTTGAATTGGCAATTTGGAAGGGCAAAGGTCAGTAGTTTGCAACAAACATATGACTATCTAAAATATTCCATATTTCTTCTGTTATTCTTTAAGAAAGAAAATTCACCATGATTCAATAGACTGTCATTAGAACAATTATGTAAACCAAATCAAGAATAGATTCTATTGCTTGCTGGTCATGCAAGAATTGGATGGTTAACATTCAGGTTTGCAAGAAAAAAGGGCGAGAACTCAAAATTTTGGGATTATAACATGATGCAATCAGATCTGTGCTGTATGGATCAATAGCCACCACATTTGCTCCACACCACCAGCGTAATTTGTGGTCGACATGATAAGGAGAACTTTTTCAGAAGTCATATGATAATTAATTTTGTATATGAAGTCTTCAATGAAAGATTATCAGCTTTGGCAAATGATAGTAGGCATTTAGTTGAACTATAAGAATAGGAGGAAAAATTTACGGCACATGGATCGCAGGATAACCAAATCAGAGTTCCTAAGCCATGCAATTGAAATCATTATTATAAAATACCAAGAACATCTGTCAACTAAGTATCTCTTAACCTTGCAGTGGTATCACAAATTAGTCTAGCATGTGCAATAATATAAAGTTTCATAGAAATGAATGCCGTATTGTAAATGAACGAGACAATAAAAGGAAATTTACCTGAAATGGCCTAGTATACCAACTACGGCCATTGTCATTCCAGCAAAGTAAGTGTATGTATCACCAACGAAAACTGATGAGGGATACCTAATAAATCAGGATAAGAAATGACGATGAGATATTGTTCTCTTTTTGTATCAACTAAAATGAGAGGTGGTTCAAAGAAAGACACTGAACAAGTGGTGTTGGCTCATTACCAGTTGTAAGAAAGCAAAGCAAGTGAGGTCGCAATAAATGGTTGTACAAGGTAGATAGAAAATGCATGAGCCTGCTTGTACTCAGGGTCTGAAGACACTCCAATTTGCATGACATTATGTATTAAAATCTGTCACCAAAACACATTAGAATATTGTCATAGCAGCACCAGAAACAGTAATAGGATATCAGGAAGGAGGACATGAGGAAAGTAAATACTATGATTCAATGAACTATGGAAAAACCATGACTCATTTGGTCATCATTGTCCACGGAAATGGTGTCAAATTGCATGACCTACCGGGAGGGCAATGTCACATTTTTGTATGTTTCAGTCTCTTCAAATCACCATCCATAACTCAAAAGGATGGTGAAGAACAAATGGACTATGGTTTTTCCCTAGTCCATGACATTGTACTGTACTTTCCCAACTAAAGACAGTTTTCCAGTCAAAACTTCCATAACTTTGATCGAGGTATAAAATCTTCTCACCGCAGCTGAAATAACAATTGATTGCCCAACTTCAAGGCCATTCAGCCCTGCATGAATATTGATAGAATTTGTACAAAATACTGCCAGGAGACCCATATATAGTTTATAAATCCACCCTGTTCACACAGAAGTCAGTTAGACATTTGCTTTTCAGAATATTTGACTTTAGAAAATTGCAAGGCCAACCAGGGGCAAAAACAGAATTCAACAACATTCTTCCAATAGAGCAAGGACAAACAAAGACGCCATAGCCAAGCCGACAGCCTGTTAATTAGAAAATCTAGCAACTTCCTATGTTAAGGCATCCACAGCCAGTTTTCCTTTGCACCAAGTAAAATTGTAAGAGATCTGTATGTTACAATCTCATTAAAATTTGTCCAAACAGCATTCCATTTACAAGTGGCAGTTAGACTACCGAGTCTCCCAGTGAATGACATTCTTTAAGCAGCTTCGTCCTCAAGTGAAAGGTCCAGCTGACATCAAACAGTTCCAGGCCTCCAACAGGGCCGTAGCCTGGCAGAATTCATGACTCCAGTAAGCCCCGAAAAAGCGAGCAAACAGAGCCCCAAACTACTCCTAGACATACCACTGGCACCAGAGAGGCCCAGGAATGGTCGAAGTTTAATTTGGTGACCCACATGTAGGAGCCACCATAGATTTGACCTAGAAACCACTCGTCAGCCTAGAGCTTCGAATGGATCCCCAGTTTAAAGTGAAATACGTGTAGGAACATCCCACAAAGTCCTTATGATTGTGAGCCGCCATGCTGGACCTAATATTTCCTTCAAAGCAGCTACTACCTTTTGTTTACTGTAAAAATTTCTCAGGTTCCATTCAATCCATGAGGACCAAATTGCAGCCATCACAGTGGCCCTCGAAATGCATAGCTCTGCTGCTGGGAATGGTGGTTAAAAGTAGATAGAGAGCAACTGTTGGGTTTCTTGATGTCAAACCCATTTCCCACTAAAATATACTGAGAATGAATGCCATACTTCGACAGCCACCAAGCAATGAAGGAGCTGGCGGATTATTGATTCCCCTGACTTCTTGCACATCTCACATCAATTGGGTAAGGAAACCACTCTCCCTTGTAGTTGGTCAATGGTGAGTGCCTTCTTAGATATAACCAGTGTATTGAAGGCTTGAATCTTCAGGGTGAACCAGGGTGGCCGAAGCTTGCAAGCAATGACAGGCCTGCTGCAGGCAGATGTGGATTACCAAATACATCAATGACACTAAGAAAATGCCTGACGGGATTGGGGTCCATAATAGCTTGTCCAAACCCTCCCAAGGAATAAATTGTCTGCTTAGGAGATCCAAATGGGCCACCAAATCAGGGACCTACTGATCCCTAGGAATAAATTGTATAATATGGCTTATAAATCAGTATTATACAAGGGATGAGAGGTGTGTGGGCAAATAACCTAAGTGGCTTCCCATTCTCCCTTTTTTCAATGTGAATCTCCTCCTCACCTTCTCTCTCTTCTATATCTTCCTACTCTAAGCCTCTTCCTCTCTAAACCTTCACCTTCTTTCTTCTTTTTTCATCTATTATTTTTCCTTTATTTTTAACTTGGTATTAAAACAAGAGACTTCAGTATGGTTTCTTGAAACCCTAATGACGTGACGTAACTGAAAGTCCTTCATCAGCTGTAGGGTCATAAACCCTAAATCTGAAAACGAGGAATGTAAACTCTGGTTCCAAAGCTACTTTCTATCCTCCTTCGAGTTTTTAATGTTGGAATAGAAATCCTAGATCTGTTTTAGAAGGTTTGAAGGTTTTAAAATCTGTCATTGGACCCTTTAAACATGTTGCACCATTGTTTTGGAGTTGTGACACTTATTCATTATCAAGATCTCTCGTATGGGTGGTCGCAGATCCCTACAGGAAGTGAATTTGAGTGGCTGGTTATGTCAATCAATCTGTTCTTTTGGCGTGTCAAAGTAGTGTTGTAGTCGACTTGTCTAATATTAGTGATTTTGACCACCCATCTACCAGCTCCAGCACTCCAGGTATAACCTTTCATATGGGTATCCATGGAGATAACCATGGACAGTAGATTACAATTGTCAAACTTGATCGAACAAATTATTTAGACTGGTCATAGTCCACTAATACATTCGTTGGTGGTAAAAGGATACTGGGATACACCAATGCCAAGATTATTGAACCAAAGAAAAGGATACCTCACATGTGAAGTGGGAGACTGAAACTCTGACCGAACTGTCTTGGTTATTACACACGAACCATCAATTAGTTCCTGTTCCTTCAGACTATGAAAGGAATTTGGGATTTTTTTTTTCTTTTTTTGAAGCTGATTTTGGGATTCTATATACTAAATTTACTCACAAAGCAAAAAATGGCTCGAATGTCCCAATTGAGACAAGATATTTCCCATCTTTGACAGGGAAAGCATTCTCTTGCAGCATATTTTTCCTTAACTTCGTAGCATGTGAGAGGAGTTAGACCACTATCAGATGTTTCAGCATGCATTTGCATGTACGGAAGATGGGGAGTGGTACATGCAGTTTGTGGAACAAAATCATATTTTTGAGTTCTTGGGTGGATGGAACCCTGAGTCGAGTCTGCCTGCGTTCAAATACTCAATAGGGGTAATCTTCCATCACTTAACCACATGTCTTCCTTTGTTCAAAGTGCGAAAAGTAGAAAAAGTATTATGTTGCCTGCTCAAGTGATCATTCTGCCCTTGCCTTAGCCTTATTACCTAAGAACAATCCAGGTGGGCATTAGAAAGTTGAAAAAGGGGAACGTAACCAAGGAGATAAAAGTAGGTTAAAGTGCGATCACTGTGGAAGAAATGGTCATCTAAAGGAAGCTTGCTGGGACCTAGTTGGCCAGCCAACCAAATTTAATCGTCCAGGACAGTATAATGCTCATAATGCTTCATCCACGGGAGGATTAGCAGCTAGTAATACTGACAAACCATTGCCAAATGCAATCCAACCTCCACTTTCTATTATGTAGGAGATGATATCAATTCCTAAAGAGGATATCGAGAGCCTTCACAGGTTGCTTGCCCAGTTAGATAGCCCATCGACTACTTCAGCTTCATCTTTTGCTTACTCATGTATGGAAAAAGTTTATATAAGGATGCAACCTTATAATGTAGAACTATGGATGCACCTCAAAAATCCATCGGAAAAAGTATTTTAATGTTGAAAAACCCTTTGATTGATCATCTCGACATCGAGATGCATGACCATGAATAAAAAGATTTTAAGTCTTAGAAATAGTGCATTTTACAACATATTTTCTACACCATCCATTTTCAAGATTTTCATATGTGTATAGATTTATTTGATTTTAACCATTTTTGAAATTTAAAATTTTATAATTAGATATAAAAATAGATGTTGAGATAATCGTAAAAACATATTACATCAAAATTATATACCATGATAAATTTGAAGGTGCACCTTACCTCTACAACTACAGATGCATCCGTATGCCAACTGCACCCCTCATGTATTAATCCATCTACTCATCATGTCTCTCTTAATTTCTATAGTCAACCCTGGATTATTGATTATGGAGTCTCAAATCATATGACCGTTATGTCTCCCTTGTTTTATTCTTATTTTCTTTCTTCTAGTAGAGACAAAGTTAGGATTGTGATGGGTCGTTTTCTTCTATTGCTGGAAAAGGAACTGTAAATATTTCTCCTCAATTGTCATTGTCATCAGTTCTTCATGTTCCATTTCCTATGAACTTTATGTTAGTTAATAGCATTACCAAGAGCATAAATTTGTGTGTAATTGTTTTTCCTTCCCACCGCCATTTTAGACCCTGGATACGAGGAAGGCAATTATCAGTAGTCATGAAACTGGTGGTATCTGCATTCTAGACTTGCCTACTACTACTCAAGCTCTTTAGTCCAACACTAATATTAATAAACATTGAATGCGGCAATAACATCTCCAATTGGGTCATTTGTCTTTTCACTCATTGAAAGTTTTGTTTCCCAAGTTGGTTAGTTTGACCAGTGTAACAAGGTTTCAATATGAAGTCTGTGAACTCAAAACATTATAGACAATGTTAAAAGGAGCGTAGGGACCTGCCTAGGCAGTTTGGGGACCTGGCTGCCTATACAGGCACACATGAACAAGAGCAGGTAGGGACCCCCAACCCCAACCCCAACCCCACCTCCACCCCCAAAATATATTTTAAAAAACAAAAAGAATTAGGGAGATCTTAGGGCAGCGGTTTAGGCCTCATGATTTTTAGGGAAATTTTAGAGCCCCAAACCCCTCGTGATAAAGAAAAAAACAAATATTAAAGATACAGAGAATTGTAAGACACATCAAATTGTAGAAAACTAGAAATAATACACAAAGTCAAAAGGGATGTTACTCAGCCAACTGCCATGCATCAAATCACATAACTTCAAATAAGATAGAACATAATCAATATAAATAAGATCAGGTTTTGGATATCAAATATTCACAAACTGGAAAATATTCCATCTCCACACATATAAAAAATATCAAAAAACTAAAACAAAAATAATAAAATATCACAGCATCATACATTATACAAAAAAAGGACTTTCGTATCACACATTGTTCAATTTTTTAATTCCACTAAGCTTTACATAAAAACAAAATCAATATTGGTTCAATTTCATCATCCAAACCGGGAAATAATCACAAAACATTTCAATCTTTCAACTACAAACATATAAATATATCATAAAAGGAAAAAAAAAAAATTAAAAGAATGTCATATGATTAAAAACATAATACATTATACCCAAAAAATTCAAAAACCTTATTCCAATATGATAATGCCCAAACCTTGTCTATTCGGTCACCAAAAGTTCTCTAATTCGATAACTTGAAGCTCCGAAAAACTAACACCGAGTATGCCCTTTGATTTAGCAAGAAATTGAAAAAATCGAAATGATTTGGGTTTTTTAGAAAGTTTTTCTCTCTCCAAATTTCAGTATTTTAGAGAGTTTTTCTCTCTCCAGATTGAATGATTTGGGTTTTGGGGACCAGAATGTCCTCCCAAAAGCCTTTTCCCCCCTTTTTAGGGAGGGATGGGATGGGGTGGCAGTGGCAGTGGCAGTGGGAGTGGGGGATGGGGTGGCAGTGTTTGGGCCACCTTGCATTGAGGCAGCACCTAGGAGGGCGCCCAAACACATGATGCCTAGGTGGCCCACCTAGGTGCCGCTCAGGTGTTTCGGCCTAGGCGGCCGCCTAATTTTAACTCTTTTTTACCCAGGAAGAATAAAAACACTGCTCTTTTTGCCATTGTGCATTCTAATGCATCGGGGCCCTGTCCAATTACAGCTATTTTTGGCTATCGGTGTTTTGTTTCTTCTATGGATGATTTCTCTTGATGTAACTAGATCTACCTTATGAAGACCAAAGATGAAGTTCCTAATATCTTCATGAGATGATCCATACTCAATTTCAACTAATACTAAGGCACTTAGATTTGACCACGGTGGGGATTACTGCAATGGTGAGTTGCTGTGAGGAACACGGAATAGAACACCAAAATTCTTGCTCATACACACCACAACAAAATAGTATGGCTCAAAGGAAGAGAAGGCACCTTTGGGAGCTTGGCCGTGCTCTTCTCTTTAAGCATAAATGTACCCCAGAAATTCTAGTCGGAAGTACTTGTTCCATCTTATCTTATCAATTGTATGTCACCCCGTGTTCTAGACTATAAATCTCCCTAAACAATTCTCCGCCTGATGATCCATTGTTTATTAATCCCCATAAGTATTTGGTTGTGCTTGCTTCACTCGTGTCCTTGGGCCTACAAAGTTGGATCCTAAATCTGTAAAATGCATTTTTCTTAGTTTATTTGTCCACCGGAAAGGGTTACAAACAATGTTACATGGATACTGACATAGGTGTTGATGTCTGTAAGTGTCTAGTACATTTGTCTAAAACCCAGTATAGCTAGACACGTTCGTAAAGTTAATTTTTATAACTTTTCTAAGAAATACCACATACAAACATAAGAGGAATACAACTCAAAACTACTTCTAGACAAGACATCTTATAGGGCATGTAAAATGTACATTCCTAAACATAAATTCGTCATGAAATTCCTTGCAATAGAAAATACCGTATCAACTTATCAACTTTCCATTTGTTTGGGAAGAAAAGGTGATGAATGACGAAAATATAGACATCATCAACCTTGCTCAAAGTTTCAAAGAGAAACAAATTCATAATCATAATAATAACCAATAATAATAAAAAACCTCAGAATAGATCATAAATTAGCATAGTTAGCAGCCACAGTCATAAATTAATGGATTTTACTGCAGTTAAAAGCTTTTTAGATGGATAAGAATTACCAATCACCCTTTTTCTAATTTTGAAAGCCGAATTTTCAACCCTCCATAAACAAAAGCTAAAGGTAATTGACTACATTTGAGTTGCCACAGGAATTGTCACCTAAATCCAATATGTCAATCCCAATGTATGGAACCAGAGGCTTTGGAACTATAATGGTTGTATGCCCAGCATATGCCATTAACAAGGGAAGAGCCGCAAAAGAGGGCAAAAGCAACTTCCTGTTCTTCCCAATAAACAAAAACAAATTAATTTGAGAAACCAAATACACTGAGACTTCAGTAGTTGACACAATCAAAAACTTCAGTAGAAATGAACCAACAGATTATGGTATCTAAAAATACAACAGAGCTTAGTTTGGCCACCCATGTTTTTAGCTAGTAGTGCCAGCTACATTTGTGGGCCAGAATAACAAACAGGGAGATTACTAAAATATGGGTGGACAAACTAGCCCCAAAAATAAATCGTATGCAGAGCCAAACGATCATAACAAGTTATCCGAGGACTTACACTCTCCAAGGAATATCTAGGACATCATCAACAAATCCAAGAAGTATCATGAAGCAAATCGATGCTAATGCTGCATTGTATTCAACAAGCCACTGCAAAAGATGAATTTTGCATTTTTCAAATTACAGATTATTAAAACCCCCACAAAAGATTTACAAAGTAGATAATCCATCCTTTGAATATCAAAAGCAAGGGCATTATTAAAATATATTTAATTGGAAAACAAACAGAGCCAATAAGAATAGCTGAGATGATGGAAATTTTGGAAGACTCAAAATTGTAAGAAAGAATCAAACCAATTTTCCTACTATAAATAGTGCAAATGCCAATGTCAGCAAATGAACCATTCTAAGAATCACCGAGATCCCAGCCATGCCAAACAATTGTTTGCCTGTTTGTATATACATGAACATTAACTTTTCCTATAAAGAGGTCACTTGAATCAAATCCAGTAGTGACCACAAAATTGAGACTCAATGTGCACAATATACCATCATATAATTAAGAAGCATAGGATGGATATGCGATGAGAAAGAAACTCTAATGCATCACAGGAAGAATCAAGAAGTTGAAGCAATCAGCTTTTGGCAACTAAGGGCATATGTAGGTCTCTGAAGAAATTTGAGAGAATTTGAAACAAGAAAAGAACACTAGGTACCAGAAAATAAGGCTAAAAAAACTTAATGGGACATTGACAGATGGTCGATCCACAAGATCGCCAATGTTGGGAGGAGAGGTACCTTTTTCAAGTATAGTTGTTGCAGGAATCAGAGGTCTCAAAGGGACTGGGGTTCTTTCATGATTTCTATCCAGCAAACTGGGCATTTAGATCAGTTTCAAAATTAGATTATCTGACAAGAACAAAACTTTGCGGAGGAAGAGGTTTGGCTGCCAGTCATCCCAGTCATAGAAACAAAGCCCAACCCAGGAGTCCCACACTAGTAGTGACCTAGGTTCTAATGCATTATCAGAACTTCTAGATAGCGTGGAAGAGGATAGATTGGAGCTTTCCATGAGTTCCATGAGAGGAGCAAGATCAAAATATTCTGAAATGCTATGGTTATCATGTTGGTGTGGAAAGTTCAAGGGTGGAAAATATTGAGGACTTCAGGAATATCAGCCTAGTGGAGAGAGTATGTAAAAGTATAATTACCCGAATCGCGTACCAACGTCATGATTCCAGTTCGGAATTGAGATTCCACGGTTCCTAGGATGAAATACGAAACTGGAAGATAGGAATCATGTTTCCATGAGCTAGGATGAAACACGAAACTGGAAGATAGCAATCATGTTTCCCAATTTCATGGAACTTGTACTAGATTATTAAAGATTGGAATCTAGATTCCATATCACAGATTCTGTCATTCATAGTTGCCATAACAACGCGATTCAACGTGTGTGAGATATTGATTCCAATTTTTTAGGAATCGAGAATTCATGTTGTTTGGAAGCGAGTTACATGTGATCAAAAGGAAACAATTCTTAGATGCACCAAACAATGTTTCGATCAACATCGAATCAAGTTCTAATGACACGGAATCAAGACTCAAACACAAATGTTGAATGAAATACATTCACAAAATGTATGTTGCAGGAGGAGCTCCAAGAACCGATTCTTACCAGAGGAGTTCTAGTAACCCTTTCATATCACGTTCAATTTTTTACAAGGTTAAATACACATGATTTTGGTTTCAAGACTGTGATGTTGTGAGAGCCAAAAAACCTTAATAAACTTTCAAGATGAATCCATGTACAATAATCGCTGCCAGGTTACCCAATGGATTTCTTAATCTATAAATCACAAAGTGGGTGGCAGTCTCACCTCAAGGTAAGATGTTTGTGTGGCAGCCACACCTCAAGGTAAGACATTCACATAAGATGCTTGCAATAACCAAATGATTATTATTGATCATTTACTGTACCAAGTAAATGATTATTTCTTTCAACCACATAAAGTGCGATATTTGAAACACCAACCCCCCCCCCTTCCTTTTCTCTCTCTCTTTTTTGTTTTTTGAGGTTGGTCACTAGGTTCAATAGGTCACGTCCCCAAAATCTGGGGTACTCATAGCTTGGGTCACATCCCCAAGATTTGCAGCTCCCATGGGAGTAGCAAATCTTTTCACTTTGACATACAACCTTACAATGTCCCTAATTTAAGTAGTTCGGTAATCTTCTAAATACACACAAATACATAGAATGTATCTATGTGTGTGTGCCTATGTTTAGAAAGTCAATCTGCACGATTGAGTTTGCCACTTTCTTGGTGACGTACTGACATTACAAGTATTTCTTGCTTTTACTCTTTGAATTCTTCAATTTTAGATCATTCTAATGTATTTAAATATGCAAAAGACAATTATAAATATTTTATTATTCATTATTATTATATTATAATCTAGAGGATTTCTTCACAAAAGAAATAAAAGAAAACACCAACTTCCCAATTGACTTGCAATTCAAGCCATTCCATGGTCTGAATTTTGACTCATCTTCAAAATCAACATACTTTATTTGAGAGCATGAAATGTGCATTTTGAGATTAAAATTCAACCGCCCTCATAAAATTCTCATACTGCATACTTTGTCCAAGATGAAATGATAGCAATTCCAGGGCATCCAACAGTTAAGTGGACCTAATGTAACCCCAATGCTGGCATATCAGCAACATTTTCATTTTCAGCTTCTTTAAGAGTTCAAGACACAACATACTTCCAAAATCAGTCAGTATTGATACATCAAAACCAACTTGTTTTTTTGTTTTCCTTTATCATCTACCAAAATGCTCATGTTTTACAAATTCTACTCTAAACAGGAACTATCATTATGGAAATCAATTTGCAACATCAATTCTCAAAGAACAAGTGCATCATAAATAACAATTCACTTCATAGCAAAGGTCCAGTGACTTTATGCATACATTGGAGTCAGCTTCAAAGTTGAAGTGCTGGAACAATATCGTAACAATCAAGTACACAATTCCAATAACGATGCCTAATGACTCAGGCCTGCAAATAATCCAGAAGATATTATTATGGCAAATTATATGACCAAGACTTACAATATTATCCACAAACAATGAACAAGCTTGTAAACCTAACAAGACATATGGTGAGATGCATTCATAATTTATATCATGCTCATCTTTTTTGGATAGGTACAGTATACTTATCTCATTCCAAATATTCTAGTTTTGAACAGAAAACAAGATGCTTTGCAATAGCACCATAAAGAAGTAACATTATATCATTTAGGAAACATTTCATAGAATATAAAGTTCCCCTAAGAAAGCTCAAATACACTAATGCATTGGCTAAAATGATAGATAACTCTTTCCCCTAAGAAAGCTCAAATACACTAAGCACTCACTAAAATGATAGATAACTCTTCCATAGAGCTCATTAATATCCAAACTCATTGGTTTACCCCATATATCTGAGTGGCCACAACTTGAGAAAAAGAAATCGTAATAAAAACAAAACCATCCATTGAAATTCTCTGTTTGTTTGAAAAAGATGACTGGCCAGTTCCATGTGTCTAACCAAAAAATCCTTTCTTCTTCCAATTTTTGTCTTCCATTCATTCTCAATGAATCTTTCTTCTCCCAATTCCTTCCATTCTACCCAATGACCTATAATAATTTGGAAATCTGGATTGGCTAATTGTTCTCTAATGGCACCTACTCCAGTAGATATTTCTCGATTTCTAAATAGATTGAAGCAATAGGCAGCAAACAAAAGTGTGATTTTGTATTTCCAAGATTGGATTTCATATTAGAATGAACCTCATAATCATAAGAACGTGGATTTTTTAGCTATGGGCCTAGCCAAACAAAAACTGTGATAAGTTTATAGGTCCCTGGCTCGGATCTGAAGGTTTCCTCTCATCAAGCTCAAGTAGTTCAACCAAATAAAGGTGTTCAAACTCCCAAATTTACTTTTGAGAAACCCACAGCTATTCTGTTTTCAAGTTCTTGAGAAGGCCAATCGACACTTCATGGATTCATCTCTTCTCCTCAATGACTCATTCAATTATGACAAAGAGAAATTATTGAGTTGTCTCCTTCCCTTCTAATGGAGAATTCCCATAAATTAAAGGAATGCTTTGGAATTGAATGGGATTTACTTGCCTATTTATCACTCAATTTGATCTTTTAGGTCTCTACTTCGCCTCAACAATTATGCCATGGTGTCCCTTGAAGCATAAATGCAATGCATAGACTCCTATAACCATGTCATATCTACTTATTTGAATAGAATTTCTTTCTAAACTAAAAAATAAATAAAATACAATGGCTGGTTCTACTTCCATGAAAGGCACCTTTTTTTAAGAGGTAGAACTTGAATTCCCTAATGATTGATGCATTACAAAGTCAACCATGGATCAGTTCCTCTCTCACTTGGAAATATTGAACAAACCCAGAATTTTGAGCTTCATCATACTCCTAAGAGACATGTTCAAGCTAGAGGCATCCCAATTCAAACAGAACAACAGTTTTTTATTATGAACCTGTAGAACTGCAATTTCCATCAAATCACACATCACAGTATGTTCCATCTTCTAATTCTTTAAGAGTACTACATGAAATTTTTCACGATATAACAAGGAATATGTTTCAAATACCACACGATTCATTGGATGTAGCAACTTGATGTATCCAATTTGATATCTTCCTATCTAAGAATCAACAAAATCGACTCCGCATTGTTCACAAAATTTTGGGTCTCTTTTTCATCCCTAATGAATAAGTAATTTCGAGAAGCAAAAATTCTACATTTTATAGGGCCAAAGATTCTTTCATAAAACCATCTTTTTCTAGTTTATTGCTTTTGTAATAAAAAGTATAGGGTTTTTGTCACTTCTACAACCATCTATCCATTAAGTAGGATTTTTTTGGCCTAAGCAGTATTAGTTGGGAGAAACTAATCAAATTCAAAGTTCTATAAGAAAAATGTATGATTCATTATCATGCAATGTTTTAAAAAGCGGACCGCCCAACGCCTAGGCATCCGCCTGGGGGGACCAGAAGGCCTCGGTGCCTCGCTCAGGCCTAGGTGGCCAAATTAGACGGGCTGTCCCTAAGCTTCTGCCTAGGCGTCAGGGAACCCGCCTAGGTGGGTGCCCAGCCACGGACTCCCAAGGGCGGAGATGCCCCTCGTTGACGGCATTTTTTGGTCTTCCTTTTAATACTAAATGGGCAAAATTGTGGGTTTTAGGTTCATTTGAAATATAAACCCCATTAGAGCCTATTTTAGAAAGAAAAAAACCTCTAAAAACTAGTTTTTGGGGATTTCCATAGGATCGAAGGGTGTCTCAAAGTCATGAAAATTGATCTAAGCATCACCCATTGGTATTAGATTTAGTGGACTATCAAACTATGGAGTTATGGCTAATGGAGGAGTGTGTGCTATGTGGACTTGTGTACTATACATTTGATGTGCCCTAAATCCCTAACTCCCATGTGTTATACAGTTATCTTATACTGTTAGACTATAGAGACATTTTTCTTTCTACTGGGCCACCCAGGTTCTGGGTGCCCGCCTAGGTGTTGGGCAGCCTGTATCCCCCAGCCGCCTAGTGTTTTTTGAAACACTGTTATCAAGCCTCCTTCCTGTTAATTTGAAAGTTCTCAAATAAAAGGAAATAATCTCATCCCACACCCAAAAAACATAGTTATCGAACAAGCAATCAAAAAGATTGCTTAGGTAATGTTCCTCCAACAATCATAGTGTAAGCACTTCTTGACAAGCTTTAATATGATTAGATTTATAAGCAATCATCTCTTGGAAAATATGAGTAACACCAAATCCCTCTAGATCCTTCTCCTGCTCTTTGTCCCCCTTGCATGGTCTAAGGGTTTCTTACATAACAAGGGCATAATGTCCATTAGAATGAACATAGATTTTATAATCTACTTGATGAATTAATTTCAACACATAGGGCTTTCCTAATATAATAGGTTGTTCACAATGAAATCGTGTTCTTCCATCAAATATTCTATCTTTTTTGTAAGACTAGTGGGATTATGTGCATTGCACGTAGAATGAAATAAGTGATAAAGTAGATAAACGTGTGAATATGCAATGGATGATACATAGATATGCAACAAGTATTTTAAATCATGAAAAAGCTAACAATAGCTGGGCAGCTATAATGAATAATAAGATAGGTAGAATCCCAGCCGTCAGATCTTCATCGAGTGGTTCAAAATACATATCACTATTTTAATTTTAATTTTATTTTTAAAATTTTGGGTGTAAATACCTAACACTATTGCGCACCATATAAAAATATTAAAAAAATTATTTTCAATAATTTAAAATAACCAAATTACCCCTATCATTTTTCAAGGGTATATTGATCATTTTATATTTTGGAAAATATTTTTTATATATTTTTTAATTGTGTGCCCTATTTTTTAGTACGCATGTCTAAAATTTCATTATAATCCGATTTCTAGAACAAATATTAAAATTCATATAGTGATGATATACATTTTGAACCATATGATAAAGATCTGACGACTGGGATTCCACCTATATTATTATTCATTATAACTTCCCAGCTATTGTAAGGTTTACTCTTTAAATAATTTTTTAAACTCTCCATGAGAGTTTCAAGGGCACATTTATGTGCAAATACACAATCCATAACCAATGATGCTTCAAGGGGTACATGGGGTTTGGGGAAAGAACTGAGATGGGTAAGACTTTTCTAGATTTTGCTATGGCCTACGACCTAGCAATAGCAAACACTTAGATTTGGTGGTGGAATGATGAGGTTCAAAAGGCCATTAGAGAAAAACGATCATGTCATAAAACTTGGCAGTGTGATAGAAATGATCAAAACTTAGAAGTTAGAAGAATATAAAAATGCTAAGAAAAATGATAAATAAATAATAAGTAAAGCTAAACTTAAGCAATATGATAATCTATATAATAAACTTAGAATAAGAGAAAGTGAAAAAGATATCTTCAAATTCGTAAAAATAAGAAAAAAAAAAAATGTAGGGATCTAAACCATAATAAATGCATTAAGCGTGAAGATTAAAAGGTCTTGATAAAGGATGATGAGGTCAATGAAAGGTGGAGAGTCTATTTTCAAAAATTATTAAATGACGAGCAAAATGGGAACCTAGTGGTAGACGGGACTGTTGGTACAAGTGACTATGGAGGTCATAGATACATTAGTAGGATTAGGATGTCAGAAGTGAAAGAAACTTTGAAAATGATGAAGATAGGAAAGGCTTTAAGATCAGATGGTATCCCGATATAGGTCTGGAAGTGCATGGGAGAAATTGGTATTGACTGGCTAACAAAGCTGTTCAACAAGGTAATGAGAACAATGAAAATGCCAGATGAAAGGAGAAAAAGTATTGAGATACCTATTTACAAAGGAAACATACAAAATTGTACAAACTATCGAGGGATCAAGCTTATGAGCCATACTATGAAGCTCTAGGAAAGAGTCACTGAGCAACGACTAAGGCATGAAACGAGTATATCTGAAAACCAATTTGGTTTTATGCTAGAAAGGTCAACAACTGAGGCTATTTTCCTATTTAGAAAACTGATTGGGAAGTTTAGCGCAAAGGAAAAAGACCTCCACATGGTCTTTATTGATCTAGAGAGAGCTTATGATAGAGTACCTCGAGATTTAATTTAGCAGGTGTTGGAAAAGAAATGCGTCTCTAGATACTACATCGACTTGGTGAGAGATATGTATGATGAAGCGGTTACTAGTGTACGAACAGCTAGTGGAGAGACGAGTAAGTTTTCAGTGACAATAGGTCTAGATCAAGGGTCAGCATTGAGCCCGTACCTCTTTGTCTTAGTTATGGAAGACTTAACTAGACACCTACAGGATGAGGTATTGTGGTGCATGTTATTCGCAGATGACAGTTTTGATTGATAAGACCCAAAATGACATCAACACAAAGTTAGAACTTTGGAGTGATGCTCTAAAATCCAAAGGTTTTGAAATTAGTAAGACTAAAACAGAGTATCTG